GTACTAGGTAATCAAACAGTTGAATGCGGGAGTGTCATCCGTAACCTAGTCGTAGATCCTCTGCACCCTATCCTTTACTATATCCTCGATGAGTCATGCGCTCAGCTCGAGAGTCAGTCCACTACACATTGGCGGTTGTCCTACAGGCGAGCAGATCTTCGAAATGTGAACGCAGGAGGTGGTTTCAATTGCAGGTAGGCGCGGGAGGAGGTAATTAGCAATTGGTGGGCAGGGCCCGAGCCGACGGGCCAAGCCCCTGTTACGGCGGGGGTCGTACTCGATCCAGACACCACCGACTCGAAAACAATGACCACGTGCGACGGCATGGACGTGTCTTCGTCGGGATCCCATCTTGTCCTTAGCACGGGTGCGGACGCTCTGGCGACGTCGAGCGTGGCTTTGTTGTCAACAAGCGACGACAGCCGTGTATCGATACCCACCACCGGACACTGGTTGGCGAGCTTGGCGTTCAATCCGAACAGAAGTCGCGTGTATACCGTGGGAGTGAGTAGTAATTACTTTCAGCTTCACTCTGCTGCGATGGTCGAGGAAGCCGACGCTGTTCCTCTGGGTGGGGAGAGCGTCTTCGAGGTGGTCGCAAGCATACCGAAGCATGGGATTCCCGACGTGGGCGCCATAGTGTCCGGGCCACAGAGCCTCGATCCGGAAGGGAATTGCCTTTACTTCGTCAATGATGACGTTCTTAGGTTGTGGGGAATCGATCTCTCGTCCTTGTCGAAGACACCGACATTCGTTGCGGGAGCCGGTGGCCTGGGAGTGGAAGATGGCGCTGCTTCCAGGGCTTCGTTCTACGATCCGAAGGCTGTGGCCGTTACGCCTGACGGATGCAATCTCTTAGTTGCTCAGCGCAATGGATATTTGCGTTTGATCAGACTTGGCACGCCCTGTGGACCGACACTGAGCGTGCAGACAGTGGCGGCCTACGACACAATTGGGCTATATGGATTGGCGCTACGCGCCAATGGCGCAAGTCTACACGTGTACCTGGGATCGACCGACGGACACGTGTTTGAGCTGGAGATAGACCAGTTACTGATGAATACTTGTAGTCGCCAGATGATGGCGAGCCCGTCCTCGTCATCACAGCCGCCGCCGGTCCTCGACCCAGGCGTTCCCAGCTCAGACTCGCCTGGTTCAGACGACCTAGTCAATGTAGTCATCTCTCCCGTTTCTTTCCCTTCCTCTCTCTCCCTCCCTGCATCGGATCCTTCTATCGTCCTTTCTTCTTCTCAAGTCGCCCCTACAGCCCCACTTGTCAAGGCATCTAAGCGCGATCCGGTTCAACCGGTTGTCCTCATTGTGGTTCCGGTTCTATCTGCGGCGGCCGTGGGTGTCATCGCCTGCGCGCTGTTCTTGAACTTTCGGTCGCACTGCTGTCGCCTTAAAGAGCCGCCTGGTGGGGGGAAGGGTTGCGCAAGCATCGAGGTGCCAATGAACAGCGGCGGCGGGTCAAGCGTGGAGCGGCCGACCGAAACTACGGTTCTCAGCTACAGCAAGGACGGATGTCTCTGTCCAGAGGGAGACGTCCAGCTGCCCGACGTAACTGAGTTCACACTCGCTGAATTGTGCGAGTGCACCGGTGACATCCACTCCCGCAATATTATTGGTCGTGCCGGAGCTTTCGCGACTGTTTACCGTGGTAAATTGGGCAACCAGGAGGTCGCGGTCAAAATCATGCACGGGTAGGTGACGGCGATGAAGCGGAGACAGTTTGTTGTGGAAGTGAACACTCTTAGCAGGGTTAATCACACGCATCTCATCAGCCTGACCGGCTACTGTGATGAGGGAAGTCCCTCGATGTTGGTCTACCCTTACTTCCGAGGAGGCAGCTTGCACTCACGTCTGCACCCCCAAGAGGGAACAGCTGCGCAGCCTCCGCTTACGCTCCCCCAGCGCATCTTGATCACCTTGCACATCGCAGAAGGGCTTGACTATCTGCATCACGGAGCTCGTGAACTGGTCATCCACCGCGATGTCAAGAGCAGCAATGTCCTTCTCACAGACGGACCGGGACGCAGTGTCAGCGCCATGCTTGCGGATTTCGGCCTGGCGACGATCGTGCATAAATTATTTGCGAAGCGTGAAGAGGTGGTCCTGAGTACGATGCACCTTGCGGGCACTGCCAGGTATATGGCGCCCGAGTACCATAAACATGTTATTCGTTAGAATATGATATTATACTGTGTCCTCTTTTCAACGAATTCATTTGTGGTTGCAGCCTAAGCAAAGTAGGCATGCCCATCCATGGCTTAACCACATGTAGAAGAGTGTTGAGATCCGCACTTGTGAAACTTTATAACTGAAATCCCAAATGCTGAAGCGTGTAGAGACCCACACATGTTAGGCACGCCACCCGCGAGCCCTGTGCGGAAGTGTTTTGGGATCCTTACTTGTTGAACTTCAAAAACGTTTTGGTGATCCTGCGGGGAAGTGTGTTGGGATCCATACTACTCAAACTTCATAAACGAATAACGATTGGAACGCCACACAGGGAACCCTATGCGGAAGTGTGTCGGGATCCTTACTTGTCAAACTTCAATTTCATAAATGTAATGAAAGATATTATATTGTGACACTGTCCTCTTTCGTACAAATTCGTTTTTTACTGCAGTGTTTCCACATAGGCGTGCCCATCCACTCGGCCCAAATGCGAAAGTTTGCTGATATCCATAGTTGTTGGAATTTGTAAGGAAAATTAGCAATGTAATCAAATTGAATTGGAGAGAATCAGTATCATTCTTTCGGTTATCCCAAAGTTACACATGCAGGTTCATCGTCTTGCTGAAGACGGTTGTTTAGATGTATGATGAGATCTGGACTTATCTAGAAGACTTGTGACTTTGACAATGGGCGGGAGTGTGCAGAGATCCATACTTGTTAAATTCAAACCTTACGTATGTGATGAGCAAGGTGTCATGATCGAACTGTTGTTGGTCAACACATAAAATTTTTGTATACCAGGTTATCCCTAAGTTATGCAAGCACACCCATCGTCTCACCCAAGACGATTGTTTATATGTTGAAGAGATTCGGACTTCCGCATAAAGGCACGTTCATCATCTCGCCCGACATGAGGGCACTGAGGAACATACTTGTTTACAGTTGTGATGGGCAAGGAGTATTTTAATAACCACTTTATTTCAATATTCTATGTACAAGTGTAGAACTTAAAATTGTGCTCATTCACGATGAATATCCGCACTTTAAATGGTAATGCAAAGAAGGTTTGGGCATCCACTGACCAATTTCACACAAGATGACATTTCTCATGCATCCACCAATCAGTTTCACAATCATGTTTACACTTCCAGTTGGACAAAATTTGAAACATGGAACATAATACTTGTAGTGGAACAGAATTCGAAACATGGAACATAGCGTATGACATGTTCCGCTGCATGAGAAACGACTCCGACRTGACAGAGATCACAAAGCCCATACACGACGCAGGACATGCAATGAGCTTGCCGTAGACAACCCAAACTCGGAACGACAAAATAAAGCAATGTCTTTGGCAGAAGGACAGTTRAATAATGTCTCGATTTACGAAATCCAATGAACAACGAATGAAACACCTTAAGAAAAAARTTTCAAAGTTAATCAAATCCATCAAAGACAAAGATGTTTTAAGATACATGATGCTAATTGTCGTCTAAGAAGCGGAATATCTTTACAAGATAATGTCCAGAGTGGATGTGACCGAAAATGTACGGTATGGAGTTGACTCTTTACTAGGCCTTTGGATTCACAGTTACAAAAAACTCGTTCGGGTTTACTATGATCTTGGAGGTTTTCTGCGAAACATCGAAATCTGGATAATCGCATATAAATTATCACAAAAGGTGACTCCGGGCCCCGATCAAACAACTATTGACGGTACCTTGCTTGAAAAGCTTTTGAAGCTTCGAGACGCGATAGTCAAAGGAGAATTTGGATGGGGAGCAACTCGTATTCCGCCGAAACTTGGGAAGAACGAAAAGCGTCCACTGGGAGTATCATGCTTCCAGGACAGGATCGTACAAGAAGTTCTTAGAATGATCTTAGAACCTATTTATGAACCCCGCTTTTCCACTTATTCACATGGCTTCGGACCGAGACGTAGTGCTCACACGACCCTTAATGTTATAATTGGTACCTTTCCCATGTACTGACGAACACAACAGATAATAAGAAAAATGGTTCCTACGATGACATGAAAGCCATGGAATCCAGTAGCTAAAAAGAATGTATATCCCATCAGAAATGGTAATTGTGTCGCATAAGTAGCGACCTTCACGAATGGTGTAACGACTGCCCCGCTGTCTCCAACATGGGCTAAGTGAAATTGAATTCTCTGTGAAGATGCGGAGTACCAGCGGCTAGACGGTAAGACCCCGTGCACCTTTATTATAGCTTTGCATTGACAACCTTTTACAAAATTTAATGAACAACGAATGGAACACCTTAAGGAAAGAGTTTCCAAGTCAATCAAATCCATCAAAGACAACAATATTCTAAGACACATGATACTAATTGTCGTCTAAGAAGCGGAATATCTTTATAAGAGAACTGGAAAGGCGGTCGATCTCCACGTTGCAACAACGTCGCATACATCAACATGAACACCCCACAACTTACTTCATCCACTTGTCTCGGAACTCCATCCACCACAACATTTCCCACTATCGACTTCCAACTCCTACC